GATGATTGAGGCATATCTTTGTATAGCCTGTATAATTGTGAATCCACCTGTATATATTGCCATAGTTAATCCCTTTTGAGCCTGAATCCTATTCTTTGATAACCCTATAATAACCTACATCCCTGTGTTTGAGTAGTTTGACTGTTTGATCCTGTACCTCATAGAAGCACTTGAATTATTAAAGAACATACAAAAGTCAAGGTGTGGTGTAGTAGGGGAGTGGAAAAAGGGGAATCAGGAAAGAAATACTTGAATGGTGCAATGGCAGCTAAAAAAAAGGAGAAAAAGGCCAGTGCACCTAAAGAAAAGTGGGGGGCAAATATGAAACAAAATGTGGAAGAACGATTGGGCTGAACATGGAAATTGAAAAAAAGGAAGTTTGTATTAAAAGTGCTTAGGGAGGTTAGTCACTATATCCAAATATATCCTACCCGTCCCTTAGCCTACATTACAACCAAATAAAGACCTTTTGATCTTTGACTGAATAGCTCGATTAGTAGAGCATTACACTAGGGGCAAGCCTATGGTGTATCTGTGTGGCATGTGAATGTTCTTTGCTGAGAGTGAGTGAATTCTGTCTATCTATGGTTCCTTGTTGCTTAATTTATTGTGTGTGGAACTTCTCTCAGATTTGTGATGTGAGGGCATGTGACTCAGGAAGAAAAAGTGAGTTTTCACCTCTGTTAGAGTAGCTAGAGTAAGCACGAGTGTGTCATGGCATTAGAGTCTGCATCTGAGTGTGGCTGTTGCACTGCTTAGGTTATTCGTTCATAATGGCAGGTATAGCATAAACTTGGGGCAATGCATCGAACGGTTAGGCCTAGAAGTGTGGTTTAACTTGCTCGAGGACGAGCAAAGATTTAAGTGTGGGGTGTTGATAATAGGTGAATTTAACTATAATTAGGCCCTAAAGAACCACCTTCTCGTATAGTTTTGATGATAAAAGTGATAACAAAATGCTCTGATTAATGTTTTTCATGCTTTGCAGGTGATATATGATAAGAGAAGGCTATGGAGTACTTTTGAGATCAAATATGGAGAAAAAGAGGCTAATCGTAAAATTTTGCCAAATGAACCAAGTGAAGCAGCTCAAGCCAAGCCTGAAGAAGGACTGTCGCGGTTCCACCGCGACCGCGACAGAACCGCGGTAGAAGATGGTCGCGGATAAATTGAGATTCAGAGAAGGTGTGTGGCCGCGGTTTGACCGCGACCGCGGCAGAACCGCGGCAGAGGCGGAAAAGTTCAGGGACTTAAGTGCAAAACACAGGATTTTTAGCCCACAACCCTATTTTAAATACTAGACTTCGCCCAAAGGAGGCAAGGATTGTATTGGAGAATATTTTAGCAAGGAAAACAATTGTGAGAGATCACCCAAAAAAACATCTTTCTTCTTTTCTTTGATTTTTCTTGCAAGTTTTATGATGAATATTGTTTTAGTTTGTTTACCCATAGTTATGAGTAGCTAAATCCTTTGTCTAAGGTTTTGATGGAACCTATTGGGGGATGAACTTCTTGTTTATGTGAATTCAAATTGCTAGTTCCAATCTCTATTTGTTCAACTATGTGTTTGTTGTAGTTAATTGACAGGATCCTCAATTAGCTGTGCCTATTTAGTGTGCATAACTCGGGAGAGAGGGCATATTTAGGTAATTGTTGAACAACACCACTCCCAAAGTATATGAGAGATCAATAACCGAGGGTTTAAAGGCGGGATTAGGGATAACGAAGCCTTGGGTGTAACCTAAAGTGAATTGTGTTAAATAAAACAAGCTAGTGTATCTCGGGAGAGTGCAACTAGTAAATTACTGTGATTACTCGGGAGAGATTTACGGTAAGAAGAGTGTTCATGATTGATAGAGATGTGTTGGTAAATTTGTATGAAGCATAAACAGAAGGAATTCCATCAATAGGGGAAATTATTACCTTAGCACTTTCTCATTATTGTTTACAGCTTAGCATCTTTAATTTGTAGCTATTAGTTACTGTTGATCTTAGTTATTAAAAACACCATCAACTGTGATTCCCAACGTTTGGGAAATTGATTCTAAAGAGTTTAGTATGTCTAAAGATAGTGATTGATAGGTTAATTCTCTGTGGATTCGACTCTGGGCACAATACTCAGGTTATATTTGCAACGTCCGCATTGTCCTTTTTATAAGGCATAGTTGGGCGTGACCAGAACTACTAAGGCTTAACATATAATAAAATCTTATAATACTTTAATTGCGAGGAACTGGACTAATCGTCAAGAATTTGATTGTAATAGAGGTTTGCCATCAAATTTTACACCAATTCTCTTGGAGATTTTTTCATTCCTATACACTATTTGAAACTTTATTATCTTTAATGCCCATGTTTAGTTAATTACCCGACATAAACAAGTTTTGTTTACAAATTATGTACAATCCACCTTAAAAGGCTCACAATCCATTATTTGTGCCTTCAATCAAGGGATGTAGTTATACCCTTTTTCTTTTTTTTCTCCTCTTCTCTTTCCTTATTTTTCTTCCGCCTTAAAATACACTAATCAATTAAAGTTGGAGGAGTACGATTACTTGTTCAAGATGCAAATCCAACTTGCTCTCCAGATTCGTTTATATGCATACAACTGTCTTCTTTTCCTACAAAAATTAAACCCAAAAGTATGCCACCTTAAACATTTTCATAAAGTAAACAAAAAATTATTGTAAAAAATGAATACAATGAAAAGTTGTCAAAATTATTCTCAAGTATTTTTTATCAAAGAAAAAGTTCATAACCTACAGCAGCAACAAAAGGTAGGAAGCAAGGAAAGAGTTTAGCAACAGTTATAAGTAGTAAACAATGAAAATAATATTTTTATGTTGGGGGAAGCTGGAAACACACACTCATTATAAAGCCAGAGCACAAAGTGCAGGAAAATTTGACTAGAAAAAGAGTTTGAAAATTAATGTCGACGTCTTTTCGTCATATCACACCCGTTCATAAGTTGCATACAGTTTTTTATAATTCAATCTAAAGAGCATTAAACTAACTCCAATATTAACATAATCAATTTTTGAATTCGTTCATATGCACACAATTTATTCATGGGAATTTTTTCGTACACTATCCAGTTAAATACAACTACAATAACATACAACTTAAATACAAATTTTATACAAAATTTATACAATATGTCTTTTGTATATTTTGTATCTGATTTATACATAGTAATATAAATTTCATACAACTAATTATATATTATACAATTTATCTGCAACTTATCTATAACTTTCACACATTATATCTACCCAGTTAAATACAACTACAATAACATACAACTTAAATACAAATTTTATACAATATTGTTCAACTTTCATACAATAGTTAAATAAAAAATATATATATAAACAACTGAATATAATTTTTTTACGATGTTACTACAATTTTGTAAATATAATGTATGTCATGTCTCCTTCTTTTTCGAGTTTCAATCTGAAATTCAGCCAAAATCAAGTCTAATCTTTACCAAAACACCCTCAAAATTGAGATATAACTCCAAACCATATCCCCAATTGTTTGCAACAACACCCAATCCAAACAAATAATGATTTTTTAAAACCCAAATTCGAATTCAAAGCTTCAAAGCTTTTTAATGGCTGTCGATGGTGGAATTGCTGCTCTCTTTTCCTTTGCTTTACATTACTGAAATTAGGGATTGAGAGGTAGAGAGAGACGTAGAAAGAATTGCCACAAACAAATAATGTTTTTTGAAAACCCAAATTCGAATTCAAAGTTTTTTTATGGTTGTCAATGGTGGAATTGATGCTCTCTTTTCCTTTGCTTTACTTTACTGGAATTAGGGATTGAGAGATAGAGAGACGTAGAGAGAGAAAGAGCGCAGGAGAGAGAGAGAGAGAGAGAGAGAGAGAGAGAGAGAGAGAGAGAGAGAGAGAGAGAGAGAGAGAGAGAGAGAGAGAGAGAGAGAACATGAGGGAAAGAGAATAAGGATGAGAAATAATTGGTTCCTAATATAAAGGGATACTCATTTAATCCTAAAGTGTATATAATTGATAAATTTGTATATAGAAGGTAATTAAATTGAAACTTGAATAAAAAGGCTAATAAGGTATCCAGTAAGAATATAACTCGATTGATTTGTTCAAGTTTAAGCGAGTTGGACTGGTCGTATATGGCGAGTCAATTTAGGCACAAGTCAAATTAACACATATAATCTTTTGGTCTATTTGGATTACATATTCTGTCCAAAATGAATATGGGAAAACGAAAATTTGTGATGGTTTGTTAGATACAACTACGATTAAAAAAATGCATTCTTTTAGTTTGTTATTATTAAGAACAAATAAATTTGATTATGACCCGTTATTTAGCTTTGGTTATCCAACACATCGATCCAATATTCGAATTTTGGACAAATTATGACTCAACTCTCCTATTGTTACAATCAGTTTTAATCTGTCGAATTTAACTCGACTCGTTAATGCAAGTTGGATTGTTCAAATTTTTTAACAGAAAAAACAGTTGTAAAGGTAAAGTAGATAACTCAGGTCTCTACTCTAACTAGTTATGGTTACAAGGGTTAAGAACAACAGCGCCCATGGCCTAATGGATAAGGCGCTTGACTTCTAATCAAGCGATTGTGGGTTCGAGTCCCACTGGGCGTGTGTATCTTTTTTGTTTTGCAAAATAATACTATAATTCAGGTGCTGTTGCTGATTGGCTTTTAACAAAAGGAACTTTAAACTTATATATTAAGTTTTCACCCAATTAGTATCGTCAATTTTGTATGCTCATTCCAAATCCCAAGTATGTCTATAAAGAGCAGATAATAATTGTATTAGTGTTTATAATTGATTACTTTTGTGTAGTATTAATTGATATATTCCCATTTAATAAGTGCATCTTGCGTATTTTGGAACATTGTCTCTATGAAATATACATTTCGGTTCCATCGCCAAGAACTAAAATAGCTAGTTGAGGAACGAAAGAAATAATGGTAGGAAATAAACAAAAACGAAGAGAGAGAAAACTGGCTTTTATTCACTTCTTAAACATCCAAGGGATCTTATACATTCCACTTGGAAAAAGAAAAAAAAAAGGAAAATGATGTACATGTTATTGGAAAATCCTTTTCTGAACAAACTATACTCCACTACAAAAAATCTTTCAAAAATTCTATTCTTTCATTGCTGATCACTGCAACTCCCCAACAGGTGCTTCATTCAGCCAGAGGAAATGGATGAAATCATACAACTTTGCGCTCACACTAACCTGCTCAGTAATTCAAGCAAAACCAACAAAATTTGCAAAAGAATGCTTCAGCCAGGGGCGCATGGAGTATAACATTAATCTGTTTAACTGAACCCCACATTTTCGACATGGAGCGCACACACACACAATTATATACTATACTTACATATACTTGTGTGTGTGTGTGAAAGAAATCCTTAAGTTTCAACCCATAATTTCAAAAGTATGATGAGATCAGTGGTAAGAACATAAAGGTTAAACCCATTAAAATTACTGAAGTTGTAGAAGAATTCGAAAATTGTATTTCTCATCAGCAATACCTTGTATGGTGTTGGGTTCAGCTTTCTCATGTGATCCGGCCGCATTTGCTCCAATTGTTTAATACACCGTTCCCTAATCTCCTTCAAGGGAGGTAGGTCTTCTCGTTTTTTATCTTCAGAAATGATAAAAGCAACATCAATTTTTCCATATTGGATAAATTGTTACAAGAGCAGTTGATTTGGAAGCATGGTCCTTCTGTTGACCATTTTCACCGTTGAGAAAACTGAAGTAGACTTTTTAGAATGATAAAGAGTGTATGAAGTCCAAATTCCAGCAGAGACAAAGAAAAAACTTAGGTGATTTTCTTCTTATATGCCTAAGTCTTGATGGGTAGAGTTACCTAGTACCTATACTAGTGGGAGGTAGCAGCAATTCAGGGGAATAGTCGAGGTGTTCGGAAGTTGGTCCAGACACCACCAATATAGAAAATAAAAGAATAGCACATATTTAAGAATTTGACACAAGTACCATTACATAAGAATTGCCAGCAAATGCTACAGAAATTTAATATTTCAACAACAGTTTTTCCCCTTTTTCTTATTGGGGAAATGAGACCAGGAAAAAAATTGTACACTCTACTTTTTCCTATCTAAATCATAACCCTCCCCCCCCCCCC